GCGCACAACTTAGATACATGAATTCCGCTTCTCTTTCTCTACCCGTCTCCACCCTGTCTTGTTCGTTTCTCCTTGTCTTACTGTGATTACGACTGTTACCTCTTGCTTGCGCTATTGCACGATCCTCTTGTATACTTTACGGTTTTATTTCACTCTGTTTGTACTACGACAATGAATGCTATCGTTTCCCTTCATCCTGAGGACTGCCATGGTTCGAATACATCTTATTTGGGGAAATTATTGAAGAAACACTAACAATCAGTACGTATATTTCATATTTATCGACTTCAACACCACTCAAACTAATCTCTCTGAGCAGGCCCTTAGCAGCGCCTGAGTGGCACCTGAGCGCTGAGCGACGCCTGAGCGCGCCTGAGCGCGCCTGAGAGATAACCGGGCCGAATCCACCCCTAAGTGCCCCTGAGTGGCCCTAAGTAGGGGGGCGTTTCCCTGATGGAGGCACTCGACGCGATGACTGCCAAGCTCGACATGCCGTCAAGCACCAATAATCCGGACTGGCTGCACGTACCTGTGACCTACAATAGCAGAGGGCAGGTAGTGGTTGAGAACCATGTTGTTGATGTGTAATATACGACTACGAGCGATGATAGGGACTATAGTGAAGCAAGCAAAGTAGTAGTGGATGTGGCGAAGTTAAAGTGTCATGTACTAGGGATTAGATAGTGTTGTAGTAGTTCAATTGATGCAGAAATGTTCTCGTGGAGCTATATCGAGCAGTATGAGTCCAAGTGAGGGGCGATCAGACATACGCAGGCCGAGGCATCGACGTTGGGGAGCTCGCGGCAGTGGTTCGGCAATGGCCGAGGACGCGACCGCGCCGCGCGCCGCGCGCGGCAAGTGGTACACTCGACTTGAACATGCTCGTTCATGCAGCCATGTGCACGGGCGTACACACCCCCTCAGCCAAAACGGGGTGCCGGAAGTGGTGGGGGCTCCTGTAGAAACAGAGATCGATATTAGATATAAGATGTAAGACGAAGTTATCGCGGTGGGCTCACCGCACGCGATCGTGCCGCTCTACGACGTTTCGTCGGAGTGATGTCAATATCTTCGTCAAATTCTGACTGCCGCTTGCGAGAAGGGCTTGCAGTCGGCGATAGAAACTGCCCACGACCAGACACAGACTGCATGGATCAGCATATCGATACCATTGATTAGTGCAGTGACGACTAACCATGTACAATCGAGCACGTTTTGAGGGGCTTGCATTGACGTTCTCGTCGATACTCGGCCGCCGCTTGCGAGGGGTTCCACCAGCAGAAGAGGAAGACCTGTTCGAAGGGCTATGCGTGAGTGACAACGACACGAACGAGGATCAGATACTGACGGAGAGAGGCTTCCGCGCTGCGACCCGTTTTTCGACGGGGTCTGGGGTACAGTTTCTAAATAATATAGTCAGCATTGTTCTACAGCAGGCATGAAATTGTCCTACTGGTGTTTGAAATTTCCACTGAGGATCTCGCCGCACATGCACGCACTCGACTCAGAGGTGGTATGCGAATCAAGAGCTTCTCCTCCGGTTCAGCCACCACATTCGCCGCAGCCTTCTTGGCCTTGACCGTAGCAGCTCGCGTCGCATTACCCTCGGCCTTGATCATATCGCTGTACTTGTCGAAGGCCGCGTTTAGTGCGACGACAATCCGATACAAGGCATCGCCGTGAGTGGCAAGGTGGGCCCACGACTGAAAGATCTGATCGAATGCCGCGCGGTCTCTAGCAGCTGAGAACGCGTCGAGGAGAGATACGCGGAGATCGTGCGGGATGAAAAACGACGTAGGCAGGTTGGCCTGCGCGGGGTCGCTCGGGTCGGGGAGTTCGGCACGGGCATTATCACAGAACGTGGACAATGCCCTCTCGACCCGCGAACGCATCACTTTCGTGGTTGCGCGCTGCTTCTCTGCGGGTGCAGCCTGCGCCTCCGCCGCGCCGTCTTCAGGCAAATTCGCATCAGCAGGTCTCGGGCGGCAATCTGCCGCGTGGCTTTGTTCGCCAGATGCGGGAGGAGTCGGTTCTGGTGGGGGTGCGAGGAGAAGACCTTGGGCCATACGAGCCTCGTTCAAGCGCCACATGCAGCTTGAACACGGAAAGCGACGCTGCTGGTGGAAGCAGTGAGAGCCTGATAATGGCCCGGGGTTCGCGAAGACGACATCAAGCTCGCCATCAAGGCAGGTGTTCTTCGTGAGAGCGGTCACCGTGCGCACGAGGCCACCGCAATAGCCGTCGAGCGCGCGCGTCTGCTTCTTCCCTTCAACCACCACGGACTTTTCCTTGCGCGCGCCAGCGCCGGCCTATATAAATGGCATGCATCAGCTGCGAATAAGGAGCGATGGCGGGGATGAACAACCCACCCTCTGCTTGCGCCCCGTAGATGCTCGCGTATTCGGGTCGTCTTTGGCTGCATCGCGCACTGCCTGGACGAATCCTTGTTGCACATACGTGTAACTTTCCGCCTCGATCTCCCCGCCTCGTCCAGCCCTTCCTCGTTGTTGCTCGTCCTCCTCGATGGTCTGAGGTGCACCGAGTGTGACAACCGTCACAACGCCGTTGGTGTCCGCGCCGAGCCCGAGTTTGATAGTCGCGATGATAATGAACGTGTTCGGGTCGTTGAGGAAGGCGATGAGGTTGTCCAGATTGGTGGCAGATGACTGAAATGCGTTGTATACGCGGACGGGCCCCAGACGGGCATCTCTACCTTCCGGGAAGAACTTATACAGGTAGAATGCCAGTTCGTTGCACTGCGTGATGGTGGAGACGTAGATGATGACCTTCTGGCGTCTGGCAACCACCCAGGCGATATCGGGAAAGGTTTTGCCGCCAAGTCCGTGGGTGAGGGGGAGGTAGATGGTGCGAACGTTGGGTTTCGTCGTCGGTCTGCGGATGAGATCCCATTGTCCCGTTCGAAAGTTGAGCTCCTTCACGAGCTTCCTCTCGTTCTCAGTGCTGAGCGTGGCTGTCATCGCGACGATAGGTATGTTGGCTCTGAGGAGGGACACGACCCGCATGACAGCCTTGTACGCCGGTCGCCAGGTCTGTCCCCATTCGACAAAGGCATGAGCCTCGTCGATGAAATACGCGAAGATCATGTTCGCAAGCTTCGTCTTGGCTCGGATGCGAAGAAGCGAGTTGAAAGCAGGTGTTTGTACTCGTTCTGGTGTTGCGATAATGACTGAGTGCTTGCACTCTTTGGCCTCTTTCAGAGGGTCGCCCTGCGAGCGACTCAAACTATCTTGATCTAATGTGGCTGCTGTGAGTCCCATCTTACGGATCTCTTTGGCCTAGATCATATACTCAACACTTGGATGCAGGTTAAACTCCAATTGACTATACCTGTAGGAGACCAAGGTCGGCGAGGGGTGATATCATGAGCGAGATTGGGATTTTGGTCGCGACGGGAGTTGAGTATGGGAGAGGTATTTCGTGCTGATAATGATAGACAATGACAATTATAGCGAGATAGCATATGGAGGTCTTTCCACCAGAGCACGGTATAACGATAATTTGGTTTTGACCAGCAAGAAGCCGTGCAGTCGCGAGGGTTTGCCAGTCATGGGGCCCGTTCGGCCAGTGAGAGATTGTAAGCTCAGATAGGAGCCTTTGCAAATAAATTATGCCGTCCTCGTGCACCCAGCTCCTGGTAGAGGTACCAGGTGACGACGAGGACATGGCTGTTAAGATGTCGGTTTCTTCCAATATTCACGACGCGTCGTTATTTTCAATGTTTATTTGCTCACGCGCGCCTCGGAGGCCCGGCCCGGGGCAGCACCTGCCACGACGCGCATCTTTGGTGTAGACTAGAGATTTGCCCCAACGGATGGTCCTCACAAACATTTCCGAGTTTTACCAGTCTCCTTGCGCGGTACTAGAGCTTGCCTCCGTCACCGCACTCAAAGGAGACTGGTCACGAGTCTACGCGCGGCTAATTGATGGGGATATGTAGAACACGATTACATTGACCGACACTCTGCTCGGTACATGCACAGGATCCTGTATAGGCAGACAAGAGACGCAGCGAAAAGTGCGATACTGCCGCACGAGAACGCGGGTGTGGGTGAGGAGGAGCAGTGCAAAAGCATACGGAGTGTATTGACTATGGTAAGCAAACCTCTATAGCCCGTGATACACGAACACAACAACGCCATATCCCACTAAACACCGTAGAGTGATCGAGAACGAGAGGCGCGCCCACAGCTTCGTCGCCGCGCACAATGTAATACTCTCCGAGGAGAGCCCAACATCGGCCCAAGACAAGTCGGCTCCGGCGTGAAGCTCAACCGTTGAAATGTGCCCGATGCTCAGCGGCGCTGACGCTTTGGGCGTGACTCCTCAGTATGATCTCGCAGAAGATGTTTATTTAGCTTCGATGAATCGTTGAAACGCAGGTCGCAGTACGAACACTCATGAGGGTACTCTCCCGTACTAGATAAGAAGGTCGTCAGAGGACGTAGAACTGCGAGAGGGGCCGCTCGTACTGTGTATTGATGTGGCAGTTCTCCGCGTTACTGCGCTGCGTGAACGTTCTATATTGTTGTTAGAACGATATTAAACTGAAAGCAGAAGATCCACTTTTTGCACCAGCTACATTGAAACCGCCTGAACCCATTGAGTACTCGGGCAAGTTTCAGTAGATGGAAGCCACTTACTTTACATTCATGTGCATGGACTCGACGTGACGCTTGACAAGATGCTTATTCGATTTGTAGCAGCATCGCACATGCGTGTCGTTCTCCATGATTTCACTGATGCAACGCCATCGCACAGGGTCACCGGGTATCGGCTCGGCGTACTTGAGATATCGTCTTTGATCGATCTTCACGTCGATCTTGAGGATCTCGAGTCTGACCCTTTTGCGGTTGTACCAGACTCTGACGGGAACTCCCCCGGGACCTTGCTCAAACACGGGAGGGCCCCAGGGTACACAATCCGCGTCATACGGGCCGTCGTCGCTGTGCTCGTCGTCCGAGGAGGCCGGATAAATTGTGGCGAATTGTGGTTCCTGATGGTGGCTGACATACGTCCACCCACGCTTGCCCAGACTGAGGTTCGTCAAGCGCGTATCCGCTTCGGGCCTGTGCGGGCGGTACAACTCTGCGGGAGGGCGTAATACCATCGGTGCGAAGACGCTGTAGGGGGAAAGGGTTGAACGAATTACAGGCAACGACTCGAGTTTTGGGCATCCACTCACCCATGTGACGGGAGACATCGCGTGGGCGCCGCGACACCTGCCGAAGACAGCGAGGAAACTTGGTGATAGTGGTAGTGGTGAGAAGGAATAATACATGGGCACGAGATAGCGTCGAGACGGGACCTGGATGTCTTCATGCATATCAAAACAAATCAGTAACGGAACCCTCGCACCTTTCGGTCACTGGTGAACGAGGTGAGGGTCTCACACCTATCTCTCCTTCGATCACACCGCGTACGCCGACGTCCATACTCGATTGCAAGCCAAATCCTTCGAGAACCTCATGAAAATGCGGAAGCTGCGGGGGTGGAGAACGCGGGCGGGGCGAATGGCGATTATACCTAGTTTTTTTGAGTCAGCATGACAATGGTTTCACCACAAGCTAGCGCTCGAGGAAACCACTCACTGTCGCATACGACTTTCGCGTGAAGGGAACGTTGACGCCGTTGTGCGATTATAGGGAAAGTGCGAAATAGGGCGGAGGTATAGGGCGTAGAGATTGGAGCTCTGGGTCTGAGCGGTCAGATACTCATCGATAGGTCCATCATGGAGGGACATCACGAAGCGGACGGTCTTGCTCTCCGGACTTTGATGAACGCGCGCGTACCTCGCACCATTGCTGCGCGCTTGCGTCCGTGTGAGTATTAATGGCGATTGAGCTACTCTCAGCTGTCGAAGAATCGACAAACCAGTGCGCGGGAACGGTTTGTGTAGAGCATCGCTCTTGTCCTCACTGGTACGGCAGGTGCGGCGTGCTGTCACGCGTTGTGCGCAAACCAGTCTAGCGGGCGATTGCCTACGCGTGCAGCGCCGCAAACTATGTCTGTCGCTTTCAAGAGAGTCGGCCTCAGAGGCATAGAGTCTCTTTGCAAGATCTTGTAGAGGGGTATCATGCGCAAAGAAGGGGCCAAAGCTGGTGGGCTAGCTACTGTTCGGGCTTAGCACTAGCATCCCAGCGGAACGGTGTTCGCGTGCACAGCCTCTCGCCCAGATTATGAGGGCGGAGTAACGTCGCGAATCCAGCCCCTGGGGAGCAGCATCAACGGCAAGAGCCGTGAAAAATCGTCTGACGTCTGTGTGCCACAACGATTTGGGCCTGCACAATCGCTTTAAGAGCAATTCAATGACTGAAATGTTCAAGTTTGCTTCAGGATTCCTCGCATACAGCTCTAACATCCTGGAGCAATGAGATGGTATTTGCAAAGCTACTATCATGGTGTATGGAACATCGAACACTGAGTGGTTCCCTTATTGTGCCATCCAGATATCCATCGACACGACGTGCTCTTTCAGGTTTGAGAGCAGAAATGCCTTCGCGCAATCCCGAACGTCGACCGTCTCAAGACCCCCGTGCTTGGACAATGCTTAGGGTACCCAAATTCAGCACACGTACATAGAGGAATGAAGCAGATAGATGAACCACATAGCGCTTGCTCGATTCCCACCGTACAATAGTAACCCAAGCCTAACGAGTAAGGCGGGACATCACCTCGGGCTAGCCAGTGGAATCTGCCAGCGGACGCGGGCGGATGAAGATGGTGGATGTCAGGGGGAGCAACAAGGAGAGCGTATCTACCCCGAGTTCTCCTTCCCGCTCCCCGTGCTGGACATCTCCAGCATGTATAAAGCAACTGTCCCGCGATTTGGGACAAGCGAACACACGCAACATATTAACTTTGATCGATGGCGCGTCTATCTTCCCCTGTTCACGATAGGAGGGCTTCATACCGGAGAACAATACCATAGGGCAATTGCATTCGTTTCATGGTGGCTGCGTGATTCTATACAATAGGTGAGACACGAGGGGTTACAGGGACCGGCAACAATACCCGAGCACAAGAAGAGCAGATACAACGAACCCGGACCGATGGAGTGAAATAGGATGCCATACGGGCGAAATAGTAGAGTCAGTTCTGCTTTGCTCTGCTCGCCGATAGTGGTGGCGGGCCTGCTTCTAAACATACGCGGGTGAGGGCAAAAATGCACGTTTTGGATGCTGAAATCGAGATTACTTATGTTCCAAGGCACGCAGAAAGTTGCTCATACGATGGGTATAATCCAACCTCTGCACTGGTGATCATGACAGCAGAAGTTAGTATCGCATATACATCGTAAATCACAGTCCTCTCACCGGGTTCAGATTATTCGGGCTCGGGAGATGGAGGCACTTCGAGTGCGGACCGCGCACAACCGAATGACCCAGAGCACACAAACGAAGCTGGTGGAGTTTGGCGTGTAGGAGGCGGCGCCAGTAATGGGCGCATCGACGAACGCAGGTTCGATGCTCGCGAATGTCTAAGTCGACGACGTATCGATGTGAAGCCGCGGATCCATTCACACTCGGAAGCGCGCGAGCCCTATCGCCGGGTGGACGATGTCGGCTGGGCGCTCCGCGCGGCAGCGGCGCGAGCGGCGACCTGACGGGACGCTTTCGTTATATCGCGTCAGACAGGAGGTACTGGTGGCGACGCACTTGACGCAATTCTGCTGGACCGAGGGCATGCTCACAGAAAGCATGCTACAAATGCAAAGTTGTCGGATCCAGGGGGTTTACCGTACACATGGCCAAGACGAGGCGGTAGACGCAATGAGAGGCACGGGGAGCGGAGCGGGAGGGGAAATGGTGGGCGCGTCATAACGGGATTGCGGTGGTGGGAAACAAACTCCATGCCCGCTCAACGCGTCGCTGTAGGCACCGCGTCTCATTCTCGCACCTTTGCGACGACCCAGATGTGAGGCGTGCAATGTCTGACTTCGCCCGTGTATGCACGGCACATTGGATACGAGTCAAGTGCAGCGTGTTATCAGGCTGCGACGTTTCAATACTCCGGGAAACCCCGCATAAAGCCCCCAAGAGGTGATCACATCTAGTACATCTCATACGCGAAACGAGTACTGGTTGCTGATTCAGACCTGGATGCAGGTCACCCGTCATTTACTTGTAGCATGCGACATACAAACACGTATGCCATCTGAAGTAGTGCCAACGTACCCAACCGTCTCGCCCAGCGATTCGTTCCCAGCTGCGTTCTGGTGGAAGCTTAAAGCTTGAAGACCGGTCATTTTCGCGGACGTTAGGTTAGTACTTCGACGGATATGTGTGGCCAGCACTGATAAGTAGGTTGTGTTGCGGCAATGCACTTTGCCAGCTACAACGCGTCTGGTCAACTCTCGCTAGCATGCGCCAGGAAGCGACTTGCGACCCAGCGTGTCACAGTTTCATGCCGGACTCTACTGTCGAGGGATTTAGTTTGCTTGTCTCGCTGGCGCATTTTGCGCTGCAGCTCCACCACATGTTTCCACATGCATCGATACATGTGGGTCACGTATGGGGCTCCTCTAGAACGATATACTTGCTGATTTTTGAACAGGGAAGGACTTCTCCGGACGATGCTATGCGGTCTGCGTGCTCACTGATACTGTAGAAGACACGGACAATGTCGCAGCTATCGAACTGTAACGTCCGTCTTGGTGCGCAGTTGAATGACAGCGCGTCCCGCCTATGACACGCTCAGGCACTGTGCAGTGTAACGCCACAGCCCTATTATGCTATCCAGACCTCCCGTATGCGCGATAGGGCAGAGCTGGGCGGCAGCGAGAGGGGGGAAGAGACGGGAGCGCGGGCCGTCCGTCGGCTGCATACTGTGTCAGAGCTAGGGCTAACATGGACACGCGGGGCATCAGCGCGAGGTACCTCGTTTGTCCACTACGACGACTCGGCTGTTCTTGTACCTTTCATGCTTTTGTACAGCACATATTCGCGATCGCACATCTACATGAACAGTCTGCATCTACGGAACTGATAAAGCTACAATCTTACTGCCGTGTGCGTGTCAGCGATCAGCATCTGCCGTATTCCCGTTGCTCCGAGTGCCCACCCAGTACCTATACTTCTCAGTGGGTTTGAACTTCCTGCACAAATTTGCGTTAGTGCGGCACTCGCTGAGCATGAGGTACATACCGTCTGCCTTCCCTCGTGCTGCCCTCCTCGACCGTGAGATTGTGGTTCATGCTTATATTGGTGCGCTCCTTCGACCCGCTCTCCATTGCCGTGGATGTTGCTTGCGCTGATACCACACCGTTCTTAGTGTCCGCGCGCGATGTATCATGCGAAGTACTATCGATCTCGGCCATGCCCGTGTTCGTTTGCGTCTCAGTTGACATCCGTGTATCCTCTTGACCCTCGTGTTTCGCGCTATCTTCTCCGATGTCTCCTTCGCCGACGTCTATCATGTCTACAGTGTCCACCACCACAGGCGCCTCGTAGCTGTTGTCAGACTCCATATCGTCTGCGGGCTCATTCTCTTTTGGGTTCCCCCACTTGTAACCTGTACACTCCATGAGCTTTCCTGCCCTTCTGCGGGATTTCTGTTTCGAACACCGCTCACTGTTGATCAAGATAGAGAGTGACATTATCTGCCCCGCAATGCTGGACTCTTCTGCTGGCTTAACCTCGCTGAGATGATGTGTTTCACGTCCAGGTAGGGTACAAACACCTTCCGCGCTGTTATACTGTCAGTATATCAGTGATTGTATATAATTCGACTGCCATCGCGCACCGATATATGCCTTTCGGTCCACTCGTGTACCAGACGCAAACCCCTGAGCATCTTTTCGCCACGACCGATACAATCTTATCCAGAACTTGGTTGACCTCGGCGGCGAATCTAATCGGCGATCAGCAAACCGTCCTCTACGGGAGATACAATACGCACTCTTCTGCATCCTCAGCGGTAGTGGGTTCTTCTGTAAACCTCTTCTTCCACTTCTCCGTATCGCTCTTGTACCACGCTTCTCTCCTCCTCATTATCTCCAGTTGAACGTTCTGATTCGCCTGTCTGAGATGCTCGGCGGCAACGTAGTCGACCATTGCCTCGCGAGAGAAGGTAGGCAGCCCCGTCACAAGCCTAAGAGCATTTGCGGTGCTCATACGATCATCTACCTGCGCCTCCATCTCCACCGTCCAGAACTCAGACAACCGGAAGATCTCCGACTCCGGACGATGCCGTGGTGAGGTAGTCATGGCCTGGAGCCACTCTATAACATCGAAGCGAGACACCTTCGCACTTGGAGTCGCCTTTGTTGCTGATTTCAGGCGTCTCCCTCGCCGGCGACTTACCGTACCGTTGTCCGCGGGTGACCATGCTTCGGATCGTTTGGTAGCCATGACCAGGACAATGACGGGACAGGGGAGAGGAGATCACAATTGGGCAGCGATCAACTTTTATTCGCATCCACGAAACACGCCGGGCGCTCAGAGTCTTCTGCCGTCATGCTGCGTGTCAAAAAGAAAGATTCCACTTGATCATGACACTCCCATGGTCAAGGATGTGGGGATGCCGACCATCGCTGACTTCAAGACGCGTCGGACAGTCTCAGAACGGAAGTTCGGCGGTGTGCGCGCATGCTATCTCCTCATGGTTTAAGTTCCGTCGTCCTTCCAGGCGTATTTGTTCACAGGATCGTGCTCCGCATCACCGGGGATCATGCCATAAACTGTTGCGGGCAATATTGCGACAGTGCTTTACCTCTGGGTCGGTCATTCAAGTGCGTTGGACCTTCACGAATGGACGCCGCATTTATGCTTTGATGCTTGAAAGGCCAGAACAATGGTCTACAAGCAGTGAGCACCTTTTGGGCAATGCAACTCTACCTGACGGACTTCTTTGCCAACCGTGCAGGATCGCTCTGTGGGAGCTCAATGTATCACACGGTCATTGTCATCAGCCGCTCATGCCGTACTCAGAGCCCGGCGTTATGTTCACCGAGCGAAGTCGCTGAGACCAATGGCTTAGCGCAGTTCAAGAGCAGCAACACTTCTTCCCGTCGGCTCTGTACGGCCGCCACTTACTTGGGTGGTTGATTTGGTGGTCCTTTTTCTGTTCGAAGGACTCGGGGCCGTTCAGATGCGTGGGCCAGTACATAACAGGGCTATAGGCAAAGCAAGTCTTTCTGTCCTTTCTGAGCAAACGCTATGTCAACAGTCAACACTATCGCGACACCTTCTTGGCACCTATACTTGCCGTTCGCAATCCGCGTCGTCGAAGCACTATCGGGCGCAGTAGATGAAGACTTCGAGTCTGTACTCTCTCCCTTACGGTCAATGGTCGCCCCTCGGACTCTGCTATCTACACTGGGGCAGACGCCGTACCCTAACCGTCACGTAATGTTCGTACAGACCACGAACGTGTTATGGTTGCTTGCAGAGCTTGTGCAGAAGATGGAGCAGGTGAGAGGACTTCGGGAGCCATATGACTTAGAAAGCAAAGGGAACTCGGCTGACAACTCGTTGGAAGCACTCGCAGCATTGGCTAAGAGTAGCCAGCACTGTTTACAGCCTATACAACTCCAGGGCGTACGATGTCATCGCTATACGAGGTTGTAGCGAGCGATACCCAGAACGTCCAGACGATTTTGCTCGGTATTTAGAGCCTGTCCACCGCATTGCGCACCTCGTCCAGCTTCGTTATGCCCGTGCCACAAGCGAGGTCATACATTATGACATGCGGCAGTTCTTGTGGCGCCAACTGTACCAGATTTTTATTCACCGCCTGTAAGGACACCAGTATCGATGCAAATCACAGAAGTGCTGACATGTTTTCAGGAGGAGCGGTCAGAGGGCCGGGCCATTCTACCGCCGGCTACGTCGTACCCATTCCGCGAGTTATCTCGCCTTACTATATCAGATCCTTGTAACAGGATGCGACCGCAGCAGAGAACCCGCACCTATAACGTTCCTCGACATGGCTGAGCAAATATCGCTGCCTTGCGAGGGAATGCGAGCTCAACTTGCATACGCCACTGTTCTGTGGTCGACCCGGATCGATACCATGAACTCCGTCAAAGAATTATCGCCGGTAGAGCTACATGCCTTACGACCCGCGTCGTGGATTTGGCCCAGGATTCGAGACTCCTGTTTTCGGTGTCTGGTGAAAATCTCGCAACGGCCAGATCATGGACAATGCGCCGCATGCAAGCGTCCCATTTATTGCGGCCGGGAGTGTCAGGAGAAGTGCGTACGAGGCCTTTCCTCATGCTGTTCCATATTAACCAATGGTCAACAGAGACTGGAGACATGCTCATAGGCGCTTATGTCCCTTCTTCGAGCTCGTGAACACGCGTTTACAGACGCAGTTAGTTAAATCCCAGATCAAAGCGCTTCCGCGGGGCATAAAGGCCGGCTTTCTCGATAGACAAGTTTGAGTCTTCATCGTTTGGTTGTAACGAACGAACGTTTAGTTGACAATGATCCTATTATATCGCTACAATATGCGCAGTTACTTCGGCGATGTCGGCGCAGGCGCTCGCCTTGTCGTGGCGGGTAATCAGGTTGAGGAAAGCTAGAGTGAGCAAGAGGCTGCCGTATCTATGGGGTGATACAGCGTGCGGCACGATATGCGCCCGGGAGGACGTGGAGCGAGAGTGCCTGGTTTCCAAAGGAGCAATGGCTTGTGAGTGGTATTTGAGAGGTAGGCGCGCGGATATGTCTCCTGTAAGCAGTTATCTGTAATGATAGTCAGCAGGACGTTCCCGCCAACGTGTCGTCCATGGGTGGCGTACATGAATGCTCCACCGCAACCCTCGTCAACTCGACGTTCTCGCACGCATTCCCCGTGTCTCCGTCCAACATGGCTCTTGCTACTTCGAATGAGCGACTCATATACGTGTTATCCCCAAATGAACACCAGTGTAGAATCAATAGCAGTAGCGGTTCCAAAGTGGGTCGATGGTGAGCGGCTGACGGTGAACGGAGAGTCATGGCCGTCAAAAGGCAAGTAGCAATAGACCGTCCATCCCGAGACGCTGCAAGGCTCAGGTGTTCCTCCGGACGCCGCAACCTCCCCGAGACACGCCGAACTGACTCAATCGGACTTTATTAGTGGTGCTGCTACCGCGCGTACTCAGTCCACCGAAGGTCCCTCGACCGTGGAAGACTCTTGACACAGTCTCGAAGCTTTCGCCTTTGCGCTTGACTTCTTCGGCTCTCGCATCATTACCATCAACTCTCATGTCGCATAAGCTTCGACTTCTCTGCATAGGCTATTGATTATGATTAACCTTAGTTATCGTAGAATATAAAGACGCTGCGTGTTCAGCCACAAACGGCCTTCTGATTGGCTGGCGGATGTGATCGGCACGCGACACGTGGCGGAGCCTCCTAACGGTTCGAATTCTCAACGCGTTGTCGACCTGGACGTACACTGGTTCCTCACGGAGGCTGGCAGCGAAGCGAGTAAGGATTCAACGGTACATGTCTCAGCCACGATCTCTTTCTTTCTCGCCCATCCTCCTCCCTCTCTCGTTAGTTGACACACAGCGCTGCGCGCTAGGGGTGCTCTTCAGGCTACGGATTTCGGCCCCGGTCTCCCGCATGGAGGCACGTCCGCATGTAGCAGCTCGCGGCTCGTACGGCTTCGCACTAGCACTTCCCGCGCAATCTCGGTGACGCGCGTTTCTCATGTGACCGCGCCCGAGCGCGGCCGTTTGCTCTGCCCTCTTTACAGCGTCTAATTGACGCTGTTGACGGCTGAGAAGGAGAACTTCCACCTTCTGTACTGTCTCCCCACCTCACGGGGGAAGGCGGGAGGGATCCTCTCACCACGCCCAGACACCTGCAAGACAGATGGCGCTCGGGCAAGGCAGTGTACGCCGCCAAAGCGAAAGCGAGCGACCCGCACCTTGCCAGTTTGACTTCTCGGATTCAAAGCTTCAGGCCTTCAGGTCTCACGCACACACGCACGTTAATGATGATATCGTTGTACAGTCAGCGATACAGTCGTAGTGGAATCTCGCTAAACGACGGGATGAGATCGATAGGCTAAGTTCGTAGGAAGCCACGGTACAATAAGAAGAGTTCAAGCTAGAGGGCACTGAAGCTAGAAGATATTGCTGTACTGTGCGAGAGGTCGAGAAGGGCCCAGGCGGGTGATCACAGGACTCGGTCTTGTGGACAGGCCGGCATAGGAGCACGTTTGACGCCTGGCACGGCTGTGTCATAACCAGCTTGAATGCATGGCCGACAGAATCCTGTAATAAGTTAGAACTAGGCATGGCTTGCACAAGTTGAATTAAAACGCACTCCCTCTCATACGCAATGGCACGCCAATCGCCCTGCAGTGACGGCATGCAATCACGGGTGACGCTGTCGACCTGGACGCTGAAGCAATCGGTGTAGACCCTATCCGACGCTTTTTCAAGTGCGGTTTTAATGCCGCGGGCGGTGCGAGTTCATTCTGTTTTGGGAATGTAGGCGTGGCTGGCACGATCCCCGAGTGCTTACGCTTTCCAGGGGCACTTGGGGCAGGTCTAATGGATCTCATTGGGAAAGGTGACTCTACGACAGTCCTGAAACATTCGTGAAGTCTGGAGTCGACAGGGAGTTGATACTGAAGAAACTTCCGAGCGGGGGCTTTTTTCAGCTACAGGGACATTGTCAGCAAATGCATATACGTTCGTAGCGGTCACGGGCACACCATGTCGCGCAAAGTATCGCGATTCTCCATGTTCTGCTGAGGACCACCGACCCAGCCAATGAGCGAATCGTATAGCGTCTGTGCGGCTTGCTCAAGTTGCAGGGTGATAACTTCGGTATGACGCGAAACATGCCGTGGGGGCTGGCTGGAGACCGCGATCGAAGCTGCGGTTGGTGCGGATAAAGACATGGACACTTGTATCAGATCCAGCTGTGCACCACTTGGCGGTTCACGTTCTATGAAAGTCGGATGACGAGGGAGAAGCCATTGATCGTCCGGGCGTTCTTTGAAGCTGAAAATGATATCGCAGGGTAAAGATGACTTTGAGGCAGAGGCGAGAGCGCGCGAGGGGAGTTGCCAAACCGAGGGGTCAGCTGCTACGAGTTGATTGATAGTCGCAGTGACGTATTTAGCCTCTTCCGGCGCAACTTTGCCTGCAGCTGCTTTACGGATGCAGCGTGCCAAATGCAAATCCTCCTTGGCTGTCGAGATGATACTAGAAATGAGTCCTTGATTGGTATTGGGAAAGGGGTTTGTGGGCGGCGCGGAAGGCAAGGACGCAGCGCCGTCTCCACGTGGATGTGGTTTAGGCGGCGCCAGGACCGGCTGGACTGTGACAGCATACGGTGAGAGTTCGGTATAGATGACTTGATGAATGAGAACGTCGTGCATGATATGAGGACCGAATTTCAGGATACATTTTCCGAGGAAGTTGGTGGAATGTGGACGCGAAAATGGATTATCGCCGGCAGCACCACGCATCCGGTCCGAGAACTGGGGCAGGAGACGGCCTAGCAGTGCAGCACGAGCTGACGTTCTTCGTTAGCATTCTATGCCATATTGCGGTGGCTTGCATACACACATTCTTGTAACGATGCAGCCAACACACCGCTGTGCATACGTCAGTTATGCTGATAACGAATGAGATATTACGCTCAGTCATACCTCTCCATAACGCTCTTCAGCTTGCCGAGCTTTGCGTCTAGTTCCCAGTCAGGTCTGGGACCGACGGGAAAGTCTTGAGGTCGAAACTTGGCAGCCATGATGGCAAGAAGACAGTTGAGCGATACCACAGACTCGCGTGTGAGCGCAATTGAGTGCGCTAGATCCGACGCGCTTAGCAAGTTGGTTTCCGACATCCACCACTTCAGGTCCAAGGCTTCCCATTATACACTTCGCTTTCGAATTGACTTTAAGTGTTTGTAAGTTGAACTCCCAGGCAATAGTTACCCTAGAAGCTTATCGAGACAGGATGGGACGGGTCGCAAGCCAGGCTGCGCGCAGTACCCGACAATCAACGAGGACCGTCTCGACTCCCCATCGTGTCACTACTACTTCATCTGCTACATCTGCCCTCGGAATGTCGCATGAGAACGCTATTGTTCATTCTGTTGCACCGGTAAATCTACCACCTACCGTTTACTCTCAGCTCCCGTGGCCCACTGCTTACATCGCGGCTTCTTCCAGCAGCAAGCATCGACGTCTCCCACCATAATCGCATAGACTAAGTGCCTGCCGTTCCTATTGTAGGAACCTCAGGAGTTCGCATTGGGCGTACAGAAGCTGCGCCGCAGACAATAGGCAGTGAGGACATGCGGCGCCTGGCGAAGCGGATTATGGTGAGTACAGATCTCGCTTGTGATGACGGTCACTGGTCTGACATCTTTCCTAGAGGTTATCACACAAGGCATCTCACATCTTATCCCGACCGTGTTTTCCACGCTTTGTAGAGGCTCGCTGCAAGTACCCATTCATCTCGCATCGTTCCCGAAGTCGGTATACCCTATGTCTGCGCGAACCTGGTCCCCCGAATATGCTACCTCTGGCAAGGCCTCACCTGCAACCGAAATGGACCTCGTGATACGCGTGTGCAGAACAAGAAAACGGCGAGGCGGCGGAGTGTGCTGCCGAGAAGATGGAGAGCTCGGGGACCAGATGTAGAGGAGGCTGCGGATGCCGACTAGGCCGAAGAGACATGTTATGCACTCGTATCTCAAGCCAATGCGCACGAACCACTATTTGCTTATAAATTATCAACGTCCTGCGGGAAAGAGGCACCTCACGACCCATAAGCACGATCAACGACACGGTAATGCACGTGAGCACCGCTGCCGACGCTGCGTCGGACGACATTGACGAGGAGGATATTGTCAGAGATCAAGAGCAAACCGGCGAGATGGGCCTGGTACAGTCCCAAGAGACGGGCGCGGCGGTGACGGGCGGGGACGCTGAGAGTTGCATGCCGGTAGGACCGTTCATCGGATGTATACTGGGTCCGGGAGGTCTTGTATGGTCCGACTCTTAGAGAAAGGAGGGCGTGGATTCTGAGGCAGCGACAGACCCGGCGACGGAGATGTAGTTTCGCGATCGTTAGCGTTAGCGGTGACCGATGATCGATGATCGGGTGAGACTTGAATGCCTCTTGTATTCAGTGCCGCTGACAACAGCCGAGCGTAGCCGCGCGGCTCACGAAACCAAGTCTGCCCGGCAATGGCTCGTAAAACAACGCATGGTGACGAGGTTGTACCCGACGGTCGCGGAGCGCAATTACACTCAGCTCGTGGCTCAGACCTGGCGCGACGCCCGTCAGCGGCATGATGAATGAACGGGCGCAGTGAGCTCATCGACATCATCCACCCCATCTGAAGGCAAAGGCGATCGACCCGCACAAGTGCGAGCTACCTTTTGCCTGCTGATACTCAACGCGACGGCAGATGCCTTGCGGGTTATGCGCGTGACCGTCGGCGTCCACCATCAAGACCGAGAACGAGGGCGGCAATATTTGAAGAACGGCTGTGGTGGAGGCGGCAAGGCTCAGAAGATTTCCGCGAAGCGCAAGTCAATAGTGCATCGCGTCGAAGTCCGTTCCCTTGCGGGGCTTATGAGGATGCCAAGGCGTGATAAGTGTTCGCAAGGGTTGTCCGATCTGCAAGGTTAAAAACACCTTACAAGGGAAGGCCCCAGCTCTTATGAACTGCCCGTAAGGGCCGACATTCCTTTCGAATAGCATAGTATTTACTCGCAAGGATTCTCATTTGTCGTGTGACACACACATCGGATAACCTTTCCTACTGCTTACGAGACTCAGACACCTTAAGGTAGACCTCAAGCGTTGCGCTTGAGGCCTGTCTTACCAGTAACGAATGCAGACATAGATGCTCACATGTCACTGCGAGATTGCAAGAGAATCTAAGCCTCATGGGAAGAAAGTTGCCTTGCGAGCGCGCTCTGTCGTACACAAGGGTATATTTCTCAAGGAAGGCAACATAAAGCATACATGAGTGTAGATGAGTTCACAATCGTCGTACGATGAATGCAATAGTGCTAGACACTAGTCGACAGCCGCCCACGTCACACTATGCACTTGCCTTCACTTCTTCTTCTTCTTGTCGCCTCCGGCCTTGTCTTTACCCCCAGCGTGCTTCTTCGTCTTTGCCTTCTCTGCGCCATTACCAACGCCCTCGCTCTCTCCCTCCTTGCCTTCAGAAACTTCCTTATCCGGACCCTGGCCTCTCTTGCGTTTTGGGCGGGTCGTCACACCCGTCGCGGCCACAAACTTGTCTGACTCGGGGAGCTCAGGAAGTCCAAGGGCTTCGCTCGTGCGAGCAGGCACGGCCTTGTCAACTAGAGAAGGCGGACGGTCAACCATCTGATGAAGATGAGGTTGCGTCAGTTGTGCAGTATCTAACGAATCGAGCGGGTGCACGAACCTCAACATCCATTGCTGGCTTGTCGACATGATGGAGGGATGCATCCGATGATGTCCTTCCAACCCCGCGAAGCACATTAGTCACCGGCGAAGAGCAAGATGGCAGCACAAGCTTACCTCCTCAAAGGTGTCGCCTGCTCCTCTAGCCCCGTCCCCCAACTGCAGCTCTGTAGATGCCGTATTAGACTCGAGGGATGGAGAAATGGGGCGAGGCGGCGATGTAGGAATTGCGGATGATGCAGCCGCAACGTCACGAGGTGGCGTCGAAGCGGCTGGGGTTGTCAAGTCAGTAACAGCCCTACTGAAAGCGCCAGCACTCACGAAGAGCCGACACTCGCTGTAGAGCCTTAATCTGGGCTTCAAGGTTCTGGTCGATGGCGGGTTCGGGAGTACCAGAGTTTACGCGAGGCGCTCGTGCGGAGTCGAACATGTTCCTGTTGTGTGAGAATGAGCTGAAGGCATGTGCATGCATAGAAGGAAGGCCATCTCGAAAGCCGTACATGACATCGCGCGCACTGGTTCGTTGACACCCAGATGGTGGTGGTGCAAGAACAAGCAGCGGGCAGATTGCAAGGGCTTCTTTTCACACCGCATGCCAACACGGTCACATGCCTTGATCAAGATTGAACCCGACAACTGCAGTCTCGTACATACTCAAGAAGTAGGCGTTCACTACGCTTCAACCTCTTCTTCAGCTAATAGTTCGAGTCGGTCTTGCTCGCGAACCCAAGCCCTGTCCTCATCAACCTCCCAGACCTTTGAGAAACGCGCATACTGCGCATTCCAACCCTCGCCCGCTTCCTCGTCCATCCGTGCGCGTTCCTCGTCGGAAAGATTCTTCGCGAGCTTCATGTCATATGCCACCGCCCGCATCAAGCCGCCGACGCAGTATTGCGTGAAGGAGTAGCGCGTCTCTCCCGGCTGGATGCTTAGATTGCCATGCGTCATCGCAGCGGATGAAAGCAGGCATGAAGCACCAGGCGGGAACGGGACGTAGATGCCGATGTCCGGTAGCACCATGTGCCCTCCCTCTTCGGACTTGAAGTTGCCGAGGGCTGTCACGCAGCAAGGGCACGAGGGATAGTTTGTCTTATCCCGGTGTGCCTTGCAGACGGTATGAGGCCCGCAATTCGCGCACGCGGTTGGGTAGACGGAGCGGGGAAAGGGCGGGCGCAACCCGGTCTTCTCGTGAAGGGCCTTCAATTGGCATCGGACGTGGCGGTGGGCGAGAGGCGCCCAATAGGCAAAGATCTCTAAACGCCGAGTGTTAGGGCATGCAAACGGCGGCCAAGACTGCGCACGTACCACTTTGCCAGGTGGCGAGGCGCTGCATATGCTCGCTGCCCTTAAGCTTGCGAATATAGTCTTCGCAGCCCGTCGGCGGCCTCAGTTCGTGCGGGACCTATGGCGCTGTCGTCAGGACAATGCGTTCCAGTCATAAACGAGGTGCAGACGTACCTGGCCCATGCCAGACTGCAGGCCGAAGTTGAGAGCAACGAAGTCGCCTCGTCGACCGTGCTTCGCTTGCGCAGGCACATCCAACTCATCTGCTTCACCGAATAGCGCAACGAGTTCCCTGCACATCTGGTCGAAAGACACGGAGGCCTCGTATGCGAGGCCGGAGCTTGGTATGCCCTGGGCTGGGCAGTCTTGAAGCGGGCTCTGCAGCTCCGGTTTTGGTGTCGTTGTCGACTTTGTTATCGGTGTGGCTCTCTTCGGTGGAGGGACAAAAGCGACGTTTATGACCTCGTTCTCGTCCAAGATAAGAAGTGTGTGGCTAGAGTCGATCAACGGGTGCTCAGAGAAGAAAAGTGAATGTGCTCACGTCGCATCCCAGTGGGCTTTCTTCAATCCTGCTCGTATCGCCCGATCCTCGCTACCAGCGCAGCCTGCGGCCCAATCCGTACCGTAGCTACCGACGTAGGCACCGCGCGATGTCGATATTGAGAGCTTCACCTCTTGCTCTTCATCGAGAAGGACGATACGAAGGGGGCGATCGCGCCCAAAGAAGGTGCCGCGAGCTTTGGCAGACCAGGGCTGAGTTTCGAGGCGGTCCAGGTCCAAGCGGCGCCTCTTGTGTCGGCGCTGATGCGATGCGGACTGCTCTATAGGCCCTTGTAGCTTGCGGGCGCGGGGTAGCCAGTCGCCTTCGCCTCGAGCGACTTTCAAAGCCTGAGTTGCCTTCTTCTGGTAAAGTATGAGCACAGAGAGTCCCGAGAATTTGATACGCGCAGCCTACCTTGGCATTCCTCGACATCTTTTTCGGTGCTGTTTTTTCGGGGCTTGGGCTTCGACGCCGTTTACCTAGAAGAGGCACCAGCGGAACCACGGGCTCAGGACGGCCGCGTCCGAGGATCGAGCCAGGGAGTGAAGACGCGGATGTACGCCTTCGCGTGGCCTCGGCGGATGAAACGACGTCAGACGCGGCGGTGCTTTCATCGGTCGCTTGCGTGGTTTGGAGGCCTTGAAGTTGGGCAGCAAGGGTGGTTGTGTCGAGCCCATGGTGAGCGTGCTGCAAGGAGTAGTCTGGTGTTGCACCACCCGAGACTGAAGAGAGTGTTGAGGGTGTATCTTGGCCAGTCTCCGCCGAGTCTGCTAGACGGTCGAGTCGATCGTGTGCGACAAGAACGGTTTGCGCGAGAGTTTTCGATAGGTTGAAGTCGGCCTTGACGTATTGCGGGCGTTCGACAAGGGTTTCGCCCAGTACTGAGGCATGTCTTGAGGCCGGGTGTAGTGCTACAGGGTTTGGAAGGATGATGAGCGAAAAGAGCATGTAAGACTGGCTTGGAGGTATGTGTCTTCCCTCGAGACGATGATTGGGTGCAAGATTTCGTACGGGAGCCTGAGCCCGTGTTTGGACACATAGTACTATAGAGAAGAGAAGGAGTGAGTATATTGAAAACGCGCATTTAAGGAGGCTGAAAGAGAGGAGCCTGTCCGACGACTGGTCGCCGCGCTCGCATTGCCATGGACGTCTTTCCCGCCCCCGTGAGGGAGGCTATAATCGTCGCCGTGACGCTGCGACAACCAGTCGAGACGTGGGTTCCTGCAACTAGGCCGCTATGGACGAAAACTCACCTGTTGGAAGCCGTCGAGGTCGAAAAGCAAGTCGCGACTTGAACTGCGCCGCGCCACATCGGGCCCCGGCAACATCCGGTTGATTGTTGATAGTTGCCGACGCGCCTGCCTCGCTGCCGCGCGCGCGCCGAGCGATGCATCGCAATCTCATCTCAAACCGCCATCGCCTCTTTCGACACACTCGGTAGAGCACGGCATGCACGTGTGGTGTGTACTACAAATGTGTCGCAGCAGCATGATACTCAACCCCTGTGTTCCCGCTTTCAATAGTGCATAGTCCCAAGGTGCACGTCGGGCAGACTCCTCTGGCCCATCGCGAACGGCGAAGTCATGCGGCATCTAGTTTTTGGTGCGTGTTTTGCTTCTCGGTAGGAACTAGGGCACTGAGTTATTGCTGTAGCGTAACGTACTCTCCTACCACCTCCGATCGCGTCCCAGCGAGGGAGATGGCTCGCACGAAGTACGCCGGCAGCGAGCACGACAGCGAACAATCGGCCCTCTGACGGTCGTGCTTGGGCAATACTAGGCGTCGATGGCAGAAGGGCGATGATGGCGCGGATGGTTCGTTAGAGCTCGGCGTTGTTAGTTGGTTCTTGCGCGAATGTTGTCTCCCGACGGCGGGTGTGAATTGGCCGTCGCCTTGGCGTGTTCGCTCGCACAGGTAGACTCGGAGGCACTAGCGCACATGCTGGGTCTCACAGCGGGGCGGGACTACCTTACTGTGGCGCACAACCACTCACGTCGGCTCCGTCTCGTAGATACTCGCAATGTACACTCGCAATGGGCAAGAGAATCATAATACATAACATCAAAGACTGCCAATACCGACTGGTTAATCGTTGTCAGACGTGGTTCCCTGTGCTGTACCGAGTACGAGTGCAGGGATGGGACCAAGGGGCCGCCTGGGCCGCGGTCTCCTGTAAGCAGACGGTGTACTCTTCTCTGATGCCGTAGGGCTGTCGTCCTGTCCTGGCATTGATGAGGAATACGCTCGCACCTGAATATGTGACTAGGCACGCAGATACCTTCGCCGAAGCCGAAGAGAAATAGGTCATTCGAGGCCTTTCACGGCGCTCAAGAGTTCACGCTTGAACCGATTTTTTTTGAAACATCTGCCGCCTGAACATGTGTAGTGAACCATCGGTGTTCCTTTTCTCTTGTACTATATGCGAAGTGAACGTCGCCGTAGCCTGGTGCACTACCGCTGCGAGTGGGAGCCGCGGCTTAGCATGAAAGTTCGGGTAGAGTTTATCAATGAGGAAGTATACTGCAGCCTGCAGTTGATGTGGACGGAATCGTCAAAGTAGCTTGAGGAGTACAGACGAGATCATGGCGCTTATAAGTAGTTGCGTAGGAGGGTCATGGTGCATATAGAAATGTGTAGACGTGGTAAAGCAACACCGGACCGACTCCCGATATGCGTGTGTCCAGGCTCATGTTTGGCTCCTGCGCAGAATCCCCTACCGCTTTGACCTAGATGTCTGTGCAGTCTATCCTTGTCTATGCATCTAATGAAGCCCTCTCGCTACGTTTGAAAAGAGAACTACACTGTTCGTACTTGTCAGTGACTCGATTCCCATCTTCACGGCGTCTCGAAGAAGTCGCCCAACATATGCCTTCTATAGTGCATTGCGCCTCCAGTTGCAGTGCTACCTTAACTTCCATTTTGTAGCCCAGCAACTAGATTTCGACCCTGATATGGCAATCTTCGGGCTGTTGCGTGCGCACGACCCAGTCCTCGCTGTGTTGTCAGCGTACGTCGTCTGAAACCGACGGCTGCTTCCGGAGGGCCTAGTCTGGAGAATTATAATATTGAGTCGCGGATGGACGTCGTCTTCGCTGGTTATGAGCGCCGAGTCCAAATCACGGCCACCTGAAGACCCGCTGTCGGCGTGCGTCTGTCATCAAGATCGGAATCAAGGCGCGGTCATGCTAACTCTCTACTAAACTCCCACCATGCAGTCCCTTCCACCACCGGCTCCCCAACCGCTTCCACACTCTTTGTATGGTTCATCTCAGCAGCGTCCTGCAGCAGACTGCTTCGCACCTGGCTTCCGTCCTGACGACGCCTTCGATCCACATACATATGCCTGCACGGTGATCGGGTCAAGTTCGCCTTTGAGCGGTACATCCTCCTTAGACAATCGATCCTCCCACTATGAGGCCGCTGGCGGCGCCGCTCTGCATTTCAAGAAGAGCTTTGTGGGTGCTAGATTATTGGATTATTATATGCCATACTGACCTACATACCATTATCAGTACCGGTGCTGCGGAGTTACCTGGAACAACTGGCTCGAATACATGGAGCACGGTGACAATGTGCACGCGATGATCATCATCCCGAATGACGGCGACGCGTCTGCCTCTTTGGAGCGACTTCCTCGTTTGGATATTCAGGCCTTAGCGTTCCCCGGGCAACCACAGGACCTACGCTACGAATCGGGATCAGCTACCTATGACTCTAGTTCACCCAAAGTCGGGATGCGACCAGACGACACGCCGTTCTTTGTCACGTTACAACCCCCCCTCCAAGCCCTGCCCCAGGTGCAGGCGAGCACTTCCTATGAGCTCCACGACCCATTGCCTCGCTTAATGGCTCAGGCTCGTTCCGCCGATGCCGACTGCGAACCTCTACTTCCCTTGGCGTCGAACGACGTTCAGTCAACATACACGAGCCGGACAGGTCCTCACGCGACATCTCATGATCTTCTTTCCCCAAGGGGGTCTACAAGCGCAATAGTGGCTCCTTTGGATCGACCTGGTGCGACACAGGTAAGCATGGGACCACCAGTAAGACCTTGTTAGTCTCATTCGACGCTCACAGTAACGCTGGGCAGGCCGAGCTGAAATCCGAGACACCTCTTGCCCCTTTACTGTTCACATCAATCCCGCTGAAACAATGTGCTATCACTTCAGACGCGACGCCGCATCCTCAGAACAATAGCGAGGACGAGCTGAAGCTCAACGTGGTATCAAGAGCTGCCCGATCGGCATCCACCTCAGGCACTCGACGAAGCCTTTCTCCCAATGGTATCATACACCAGGATGCCAGCGAAGCATCCGACGCATCGTCTGCTACTTCGGTCACGCCTTGTTCGGGGTCGCCTTTACTGTCAGCCAAACCCTTTCGCTGCCCCAAGCTGCACTGCAACAAGTCTTACATGCGGTCAGCGGGCCTCAAGTATCACATTCTGCAAGGCTCCTGCTCCCACGGCCCGACAAGGGACTTCCAGACCGTCCAGGCGTTACTCGCGGAAAAGGGAGTTGCAGAGGATGGCGCCCTCTCAGAGAGCGATAGGCATGAGGTCAAACGCGAACTGTTACGCCGACTCCGCCCCTTTGAATGTTCTGTGGGCAACTGCACCCGCCGGTACAAGAACATGAACGGCTTGCGCTATCACTATCGCCACTCTAGACATGGCGCTGAGGGCATGCGTCTCCTCGCATCCGGAGACCATCCCTGTCTTCAGCGTCATACTAGTCGAGGAAGGCAGGCGGCTCAGTCGGCCGCTCAGGCCGCTCTCAGTGCTACAGACGCCGCAGACCCATAACAGTCCCCGAGCGCCCCAGAAGCTTCCACGGCAGTGAAGCTCCCACGTTCAGAACGCTTTCTATCTTAGTCGCCCGTCTCTTTGTTGACATATCTCTCATTCCAGCTCCTCGTTGCCAACTATGTTTACATCATTATGGTCTCATACTGTAATTCCTAATTCGTAACCCTTTCTGGACTTTCACGCATGATTTGAACTGCTAGGACGTACAGACACGTACAGAATGATGACACAGGCTGCCATCTCCCTATGACTTGTCCACGGATTCCGGCGCTGCTCACGCTGATGGCGCTCAAACACAGAATTCACCACGTTGCACCGGCGTTGCGCTCCGCCGGAAAGGTTCCCTAGCTGCGCTCTCAGGTGCGTGCCGTGCATCACATCATTCAATGGCTAAAGTTAGCAGTTCATGAGCTCCAAGAGTTGCGTGCGGTGATAGCTGAACCCACCTCTTGTTCGTTATGTCCTGCATTCTCCTCCGCTGCCTGCTTTGGTAGACAGTGCCGTGCGAATAGGATGTAATCTTTATAAGCCCCCGCCGTTCTCTGGGAATCTCAGTGCGCCCATCCTTGTGGTCATATTGGTGAGCTACGCCCTGATGCAATTTACGCTCTATACGCGCTCAACCGGCCGTACGAGCATCACGAAGACAAGATACAACTGTTTTAGCGAGAATCACTACACTCCTTCTCGCGTAACTATGATCTCCGGGCAGCCAATGCCGCGCACAATGCCCTGGATTACCAGCTCTGGCACGTTCAACTTGCCTGCTTGTACCGCCTCATAGGTAACCCGGTTCATGCGGGCTCTCCGGCCATCCCTCATAGCGCGATCTTTTCCCAAAGTCAAGGGACTACGGCGTTCTCGCAGTACAGGCGTGATGGGGTGTGGTCTCAACATTCTGCGAAGAAATCCCGAACCGTTCACGGGCAGACGGTTGGTTCCTCCAGCCATGATCTCACCCCATCCGGTACGGATAATACATCTGCGGCGCCACGTCTCTGACTGACCGCGTCCGTGTCCTCAAACAGCGCGATACTATGCACAGCCATTCTCTGGACATGGTGAAGACATCGATCAATGCCGCCCGCAGTACTATTACGGCCTCTCTTTGCCAGAAAGCGCTTCTGCGGCTCGAATCCTACCTGTGCTGAGTCCCTATGCTCTAGTATCTTGTGCAATTTCTTGCAAAAATCGTGCAACAATGATCGCAAGAATGAGGTTGTACTATGAGGTTGTACCAGGCTGACGAAGTTGATTATGCTTTTCGCGGGGCTCGTGTCACGCTTTCAAGTAGTAGTCTCAGAAGTGCGTTGGACGACCTCCTACTCAAGAAACTGCTGGGTACTGCTTGAGCGTAGTCCATGAGTGAGAGTTGGGACGCACACATACGATACAAAGGTGGGAGCCACGCTACGATCACAATCCCTTGTGTTCGCCTTTCGCGCGTGTCGAGATCTTCAAATGCTGAGCGCAGCTTCCCGCGCTAGTGCCGTACTAGATTGATGTTTGAAGAAGCATGAACTTCGCGCAGAGCAATCATCTATCACCGCGTGAATCTGAGCAACCTTCGGCTGAACATCAACGCCCCGCTTTTTCTCAACGGACAGTTTGTATGCAAACCTGGTCCCTCCCCTTTCAAAAGCACGGATCGTACCGGTGGAAACCAATCCCACGCTGCGACTACATAGGGCGTCCACTTGAGGTGGTGCTTCCGTCACTGAGGCCCATCTTCCTCGACCGGACCGTCGGTATGTATCTCGATTCCGTATCTGACTGCGACAAACGTGTTGATGGGATGGCGAAAGTAATGGATGCAGGTGTTGAAGTGGACGACGCAAGTACGCCATTGGCCTATGAGGTCAGTTCGCACTCCATTGCTTCTACATTGTGAGGCTTACGAGGCGCTTACTGGTTTTCTCGTGTCGTCAGATTCGTGGCCATAAAGTCTTTCACTTTGGTATCACCGACGCCGCGTTGATTCCGCCTAATACGGCCCAATGGCCCGCGAATCCGTGAGTACAGCTATTCGGACGCTTAACTTTGCCGGGTTGAGAGCTTTTGGCTACAGTGTTCATGTGCTTGTGCCAAAGTATGGCAGTTTCCCCCCCAGCCACGATCCCCTTATGGCTGATTCCATCGTTCGCGCTCGCTCTTTCGCCGCGATGTCGTCCGTCCTCGGCAAGCTTCGCGCCATGATGTCGAGCGTTATACCTATTCCTGGCGCGTACAACAACGTCATGACGCAAACTGCGTCGCCATACTTGGCTCGCTTCTTCGAATACCTCAACCAGTGCGCGGGCAAGGAGATAGCCATTGGTATTCTACTACAGAAGTTCAACGGCTTCGCTCGGGATCACATCCTTGTCTCCCGCCATTACCGTTTGGGCGCCGGGTATCTTCAGTTACGTTTCCTGGCAATGCAAGGCCTTAACTCGTTCTACGCCGCCCTGACTGAGAACTATGCGATCCTCGAGGGTAATAGGTCTGTGGTATCAATCCGGGAATTGGACTCGGCTGATCTATGTTAGGTTCGTGCCCGGCACCTTCTACACGGACTTCAACATTCCCGAATGATCATCCATCATCGCCTTCATCGAGGCGATGTAGCCCATTATCACTTTGTGCTGAGGCAATGGGTTACAACTAAGATGAATGGTGGTGTTGTCCACTGCGTCCGCCTGATTGCGTCATGCATATCATTGTTGTCGTAGTGATATGTGAAATGAGTGATGTAGACGAGCTTTGAAGTACATTGAAGCACTTGTACACGAGAGTATGGACAAGAAAATCTTATCTGAGTGACCGTCTTGGAAGGGCGAGGTTAGGGGCTATGGGAACGAACTGCCATGGACGACGAAGCGGGGGACGTTAGTCTTTCTTGGATCTGGACTTGAAAATCCGCTTACTATGACCTTTCCCGCGCTACTGGACTATGTGCGCGTCGATATAGATGCCATTCACTTGCCCACGCATCTTTCTCGCGCGATTGGCGACAGTGATGACCTCTTGTGGCCGAGCCACTTCAACTAGCCGTGCTCTTCTTCGTGCATCTATCTACATCGCGATGTACACCCGTATCGGTGTCAGCAGAACCCTCGACTGGGGCAGTAAGTTCCATTGCAGGATCGGTTTATGACCAGTCCTGACAGCTTGAGGTACCATCGCGGTAAGAGGCAAATCACGATGCGTGCCGCGCTTTGCAGGGTCGCCAGGGCATCGATACGTACACTCGCGCGGTCACATGAGTTCATCCGCCTTTGGTACTGAAAGGCGCGTGTGTCTCTGCGTGGGACAACTCTTTCAAAGAAGTTGACTCTTTCAAAAATATGTGCTCGATTGCTAGAGCGCCACGTTGGTCTCTTCTAGTAATGATATAGCGGTGCGTTGAATCTACTAATACAAAGGCATCGCAGTAGCGAAAGCGAGGCGTCGAAACCCAGAAACAAGTACTTCACAGGCATGGTGATAACCCTCTGCACGCCCAGCATCCGCATCAAGCCTGTGCCATGGTGCACACGCGTCGACTTCCGGCTCATGGCGTCAGTGCACATTGAGTGCCGTTGAACATGGATGATACCTGCGATGCTCTTGTTAGCATCGGTGAATCCAATTCAGTAGGGAGCGTGCGTACCATCACGTTGGTCACATAGACGGTCGTGTCCAACGCGGGGGGCAGCGGCGTTGACGGCTTTCCGCGCGCGCAGAACCGGGTATATCCGCATCGTTGTCATCGTCGGCAAGGTACTGCAGCAGGCTTCTAACAAAAACAATCTTAGTATCCGACTCGTTGCATTTCGAAGGGGTTTAGAAATTCTCAACGTATCTTCGTCACTCCAAATATGGAGAGTGACATCGAGAATGAAAACGCGAGCGCTCCTCAGCAATTCGAAAGAGAAAGTCGCGCGTTGTCCAGTGTATCAGACTGTTATTGAAATACTATGTGACAGTACATCATCCCTTGTAAAGCGACGCGCCCCAACGATACCGCAGCAGGGGGATATCCGACCAGAACTGTGGGCATGCGTCAGCCTACAGACATCTGATCAAGCTCAAGACGTCGTTCGATGCTCAAGACGTTGTACCTGCTCAGCAGCCTTGATAACGGGCTCTTGATCCTGCATGATGGTCTTCAACCCAGGGGGTTTCTTCAAGACTTTCTTGCTCTGCGTCCCCACTATGCCTCCAAGATCGACTACGATAGCGTCCTTCTCAAGCTTCTCCCAGTCGTATCCCCTGAAGATCGCATCTGGGGCACGACGCGCTTGCGAGCTTCCATCCCCTTCGTGACCCTCGCCAACGATGTCTCCTTCTCCAGCTGCCCCGGCCAGCCCCGCGAGGCTGATTATGAATGCGGCGTTGAAGGCCGTCTTGTCAAGTTCACCCGAAGAGGTAAACCCTGGGCTGAGGGAAACATCGAGTAGTCAAGGTATGTCGAAGCCTTGAACTGCTCGTCGGCACATAGATAGACTAACGCAGCGAGTCCACAGTCCATCCTGCTTCGTAGCGCAACTGAAAAGCGTGTCAGAACGGCCTTAAGACGCATCATATAGGAGGGCTGTACCTCTGACGCAACCCCTCGGCCTTCTTGTCCGTATCGAGGTGTGAGCTAGCCGTGTTGTGTGGAAAGACACTCGGCGCTATCTCGACAAAGGTGTGGTTTAGAGCGAGTGCACGCAGTATATGCAGAGCACAGGCTGCAGATAAGGCATTAGAATCCGCACGGCACGTAGAGGTCGAATTCTGTTCACCGAATCTGCCGGCGTCGATGCTCTTTGCCTTTGCAAGCTCCCAGACATGCGAGCCTTGCGCCGTCTCACGTAGAGCCTCGGCAACATTCAGTCGTAATGAAGATGGTGAGAACAGAGCCGAGCGTGGTGGCGCAAATGAGCGTATACATGGGGTCGGCAAGTATCGCGAGCAGCTGCGTAGCCGCCGCACAACCCATGGCGCCGGCGGCTGCCACATCGGGAGCCATGTGAACGAACTCAGAAGCCATCGAAGAACCGCTATGTCTTGCGTGGCGGGTCTTCCTAGTGCTAGATAGCACACCGC